CCCACCCACACTATATCCAGCTACAAAACCCAAATGACAGGAATGGCCAAATGGGAAACTTGCCAACAGACGTAGAAGATGTCGGGAAATATATTATAGCGAAACGCTGACCATTATAGTATAGTTGCTCATACATATATTTGTAAACAACCCCTCTGCAGACGCGTATAAGGCAGGAAAAACGCAACACCATTGGAAAACCGTACAAAAAGTGTATGTAAGCGTGTACTAGCTGTTCTGAATGAAGCGGAGGAATGTATTATTGGTTTTACAGCCGTCCGGAGTTTATTTTTTGCAGACACTTTTTCGAGCTGAAATCGCAGTTTTTCGGAAGGCTATAATTTGTTGGGCAGTATAACCCTCATCGGTACATATAATACATAATATATATATATATATAGTTTTATATAATGTCGTGGAAAATGGTTTTCTAGAACCCTTATACATCGAGAACAGCTATGTTTGCTACGGAGCACACAATTCAATATTGACATTTTTATTTGAAATATATAATATTATTTAGGTATATACGCAGTAAAGAAAACGGTATAATTATAAATATATATTGAAATTGATGTGGAAAAGTTTGAGTTTGGAGTACAATATAAAAGCTATAGTATATATCACTAGGTAGCTGACCCTATGCACTTTGTTTCCAGTAAAAATATTATAACTTGTATGTCATGATTCAAAGTGTGTTCAATTCGTTGTAATAATCGGTGTAACGACGTTTAAAAGTTTAAAAAAAAAGATTTAATTTTAAATTTGATTTTAAGTTATTTTATAACACATATTGTACATTTTATCATACCTATTGTGATTAACAAACATTACATTTTTTATTAATTTATTAATTTTTATCTTATAAAATGCCTATGAAAAATACAACAACTTGGACTTTTCCTGTGATAAATAAATCCTGGTCGGACATCCATTTGTATAGTAATACTTAATAACTAATAAGTAACTAATTTTTCTTATTTGTAACTAATTGCTAGCAGAAATACACTAATATGCGGTTATGATTTTAATATTATTAACGAGCATACTTAAAAGTTAAAGGAAGCAAATATAAAATTCCTGATTTAATCTATAATCTAAGACTTTCTTGAATAGTCAAAATCGTTTTGTTATTTTTTTGATCCGACAAGCTCGGGTAAAAAATATAGTGTCACCACCAAACATCAAATACAGTTTTGAAATTATATGCAATCATAATAACAATTATATTTGATGTAACCAGTGGACAGTGGTAACCATTTATATATTTAAAAAAAATACTAATTTATACTATTATGAACTATTAATATTTACTATTTTGTATTAAAATATTTAACCAAAGAAAACCATTTATAAACAAAACCTTTATTATTAAAATGTGAATTTTGAAAAAGTCCCTAGAAATTTACTGAAAAAAAATTAGGTTTCACAGACTCCATGTTATTGCCATATCGCTATCTCATTTGCCTTTATCTGGTAATATAAAAAAAAATGTGAATTAAGTAAATTAATTAAATAATTAAACATCATTAATAATTAATTTGTTTCATACTCGTAAATCAAAATATAAATTTAAAGTATACCTACCTAAATGGCTGTACTTAATATAAAATATTAAGTACCTATTTGGTAGTTTAATAAATAAAACTATTTGTGAATTGTTTGAGTACAATGTACCTAACACTAGTTAACCTACCCATGTACCTCTATATTTAAATTATTAACAGAAAAATAAAAAACTCAAGATATTTTCATTGAAAAATCTGTCGACTGTGAAATAATTAATTTAGTTTCAATATCTCATTCAGTTCCAGGTAGTTCCATTTAAGTTTATGTAACTACTAATTTAATTATTATGCATAAAAAATATGAACAAAATTATAAATAATGCATTAATAAATAATAATAATTTTTGAATAGAATTTTGAAAACTATGTGTAATAATGCCATCCTTAATCGTTGAAGGTACATTATTTGAAACATTATTAATAGTACTCATTTACCTACTTATTTATAAATAATACATATTTATAATTTTAAATTGAAATGGGAAATGCAACTGGTCAGACTCGTTCAAAATACAGTCAAATTGACCAATACCTAAATATTATAAATCAAAATGCATTGAAATATTTTAAGTTGTACATAAAAGTGTTATGGTCAAATATAACTACTGGTAATTTACCGATAAATAACGTTTCCGTGTTTTTTGCAAGCTCCGCTATTGGTCTCACAGAGAGCACCACTAATTTATTTTGAGGACGAATAGGATAATATTTATTTTTAAATATATTATGTTCATTCTCTTATAAAAAGAGGAAATTGTTAAGGTTTGAAAGTTATTTTTTAAGCACATCGGTATTTTGTAGCCGAATAATTAAATTAAAATCACAAATCAATAACACAATTAAAATAATAACAATAATACAATTTCATTGAAATATTCTATTTATAAATTATATTATAGTGCAAAAATTAGGTAGTACCTATGTTTTGATGTATTGCATTTGATTTAAAATTCACATCTATCTATCCAAAAATAATATTTAACTGCAAGATACTTATCGTTGTCCATTTCGACCATTTCTCGACAAAAAAATTTAAACATATTATTAAAATTGTTATTAATCATAGAACCGTTACATGCCAATTATTCAATGTACAATAATTAACAATGCATTAGTGGATAATGTACCCACATCGGAAATGTATATAATATGCTATGTTGGTAATAATCATTACTAATATATGGCATGGAATTGGTAACGAGTCGAATTCGATTACTATCCAAA